CGGCCAAGAGCTCGTCCCAAGTATTCGGATATCTCGTCAGCTTGGTGACTGTCTTCGGCACTTTGAACTGGGTCAGCGTTCTTGTCAGCTACATCCAGTTTACGAGGGGCATGCAGGCCCGGGGCATTCCCCGGGGTATCATGCCTTACCGAGGACCGCTGCAGCCCTATGGCTCTTATGCTGCTCTCCTCATAACGGTCCTCGTTGTCTTCTTCAATGGTACGTGAGCTCTCTCGACATGGAAAATGTGTATCAAGCTGACGCGAACCTGCCAGGATACAATGCCTTCATTCCGAAGTTTACTGTGTCCACTTTCATGACGTCTTACATCGGAATCGCCATATACGTTGTGAACATCATCAGCTACAAGCTGTACGCGAAAACCCAAAGGGTCGGTCTCGACACAATGGACCTGCACAGCAACAGGCTTGAGGATGATGGGGCCAAGTACCCGAGCACATTAGAAAAGGCTGCTTCGTGGGTGATGCAAGTCACAAAGCGGTAACGAAATATGAAGGAGCTATATGTAAATATTGTGATATTAAAGGACTTTTCTGTCAATTACATCGGGAATCATCGCATCGAGTGGTATCATTATGCGCTTCTGAATACACGCTCCCCCTAACCAAAATTGACGATTCAAGCCTGAGACCGAGGCGCTCGGGTATCCATAACGTGGACATTTGTCTCGACTCAATAATCGAGTTGATGTCCGGCTCTTTTGCTTGCATCCATCCTCAGTCTCCAAACTTTGCCTAGGTTCATGTCTAGGCAACCGTCTTCTCGCCCTTCACGGCAACACCCTCGGACGGGATATCGCTGTCGTGGGCGTTTTCAACACTCTCGCCCTTCTTGAGACCGAGCTGGCGCGTGTCGTAGCCGTTGGCCTCCAGGTAGGCGCGGAAGCGGGCGTCTTCGAGGGCAATGGTGTCTTGGCCGATGTGGGGCAAGCAGAAGAGGGCGAGGGCAGCAGACAGGACGCAGAGAGACGAGGAGACCCAGAAGGGGTACTGCGCAGTGGCGACGGCATTGTCACCGGCAGCGGCTTGGATGTAGGGGAAGACTGTTGCCCATGTCAGTACAAATATTAAAGACCATGTTCTTCAAAACGACTCACCCCAAGTGCCCACGAAGGCGCCGATCTTGCCAATAGCAGCGGCAATGCCGTAGTACTTGCCTGTTCAGCTGTCAGTATGTCTTGATCAAGTACTTGCGCCGCCCTTGCTCGGGGACCACTTACCGCGAATGCCAGTTGCGCAGGTCTTGGCTGCTAGGAGACCGATGTTGTTACCGGGGCCGAACTCTCCAAGAGCGAGGAACACGCCGTAGACGACGACGAATCCACCGACCATGCCGGGCTGCGACAGGTTGAAGTAGTCACCAGCCATGATGAAACCCACGATGGCCTGGAGGAAGACGCCCAAAGCGAGGGCGTATCGGGGGCCGAGCCAGTCTGAGGCAGGAGCACCGAGCATGGTGCCGGGGATGTAAAACAGGTTGATCACAGTGTTCCAGCCGAAGACGGTCGTAAGCGGAGCCGTGTCGCCGTAGATGTTGCTCAGAATGGTGGAAGAGTAGATGCCAAAAGAGTAGGCAGAGAACTAAACTACTGTCAGCTCGAGACCACCTGCTCACGCGCACCGCTGTTTACTCACATCGTAGATGAACCAGATCAAGCTAACAACAAACAGGCGCCAGCCGTAGAAGCGGAGGGAGAGGAGGTACGGCGTCTTGGCGTGGCGCATCGAGTTCTTCTGGAACTCCTCGTTCTCCTTGACGAAGATGCGGAGGACGAACAGGAAGATGGGGAACACCACACCGATGCCCAAGCTGGTGCGCCAGATGGTGCTGTAGTGGCCGTTGTGGCATGCTGCCGCGACGACGTACGGGACGAATGCGCCGATGACGAAACCCCAGTCAATCATCGAGTTCGTAAACAGGATGAAGAACATGTTGCGCTTGCCGGACTTGAGCTCTCCAGTCGACTCAGCGGCACCGACACTGCCAGCCGGGTACTCGCCTCCAATACCGATTCCGACCTACCGAGCGCATGTTAGACGGGGTTTGCGAAGGTCGCCAAGGGTCGCAGCTGCGATGCGCGAGAACTTACGAAGAATCGCCACGCTGCCAGGATGTTGAACATGCCTATGTCGTCGCCCTTGTAATACGACCCGGCAGCGAGCGCAGTGAAGACGACGAGGATGATCGTGGAGACGAGCAGCGAGTTCGTGCGCGACCAGTGGTCAGCAAGCCAGCCGAACGCGAGCTGTCCGACGACTGTGCCGGCGAAGGCAATGTCGCCGACGTACTTTTTCGCGTTCGAGTTCTTGTACAGATCGCCATACTGCAGCGCGAGAATCGTCGTCACGGAGCCAATGACCTATCGCATCCAAACGGCGTCAATTACATTGTCCCAATCACTCACGAAGTATGCGCGGCATGTGCGCGACAGGGTGAAGTGCTCACGTTGTTAATGTAGCCGTCGGAAAACAGACCGGCGCCGCATGCGATGACGGGGACGATCGCCTCACGGAATGGTTTGCGCGGGGTGGTGTCCTGGTCGACGACCTCCTGCGCCCTGAGCTCGGACTCGGAGGGCTCCTTTTTCAGGAAACCCAGCATTATGTCGACAGGACGATTCTCGGCGCGATTGGCGTTTCGAGGAAGGTCGACAGTGAAGCAGTCCTCTGTTCGTCGCTGGCGAGATCACCGGCGATCAAGGCAAGACAAGCAGCAGTTTGGGGCACAGACAAGATGACGAGGTCGCCTGAACCGGGGGCGAGTCAAAAGAAGAAGGACAGGCGCCGAACACGAAGCGGGACTTCTAAATACCTTATATATCGGACGATCACAAGCCCATTGGAAGAAACACAGCCAAAAAAGTTCGATCTACGCAGCTGTCGGGTGCGACGCTAGAGCCAACGTGCATGCTGCATGCCTCTCCCCACCAACGAGGTATCCTTCACCATCCAAAAGAGCTCCATCCCGAAAGGCGAAGGGTGTTTCCCCCGACGAGACGGGGCCGCTCGCGGCCGGCGGCCCTATGAGAAGCGGGAAAGCCGCGCGTGGCCCTTGTTCCCCCGCTGCAACATTATCGATGGGGTCACCGAACGGGTGGCTTACACCGATACCACGGGGCCTTACGAGTGGTTCGCTTTGCGAAATGGGGACTCCACAGCTGGGTTCTGTTCGAGTCGTGTTGGTGCTTCTGCGCCGGTTGGTGATAAGCCCGGAAATGCGGCATGAGGGGGGTGGTGTTCCGGTCTTGGTCGACTCTTGGGCAGACAGGAAGACGGGGGCAGGATGCGATAGGATCAACTTTGGTGCGGGTACACGTGTAGAACGTTAGTCCTTCTCTGTCATGCGACCTGATTGTGCAGTAGTTCAATGGTCCCTCTCCTTTGGAGCTGACTTTGGATGCATGCTCTGAGTGGTGTCCAATGGAAAATGTTTCTCCAATAGAGACAGCTCTTCTGAAAACAAATGACGTTGGAAGCATACCTGAGAACCAGGCTAAGCTTTTTAGTGCATTTCTGGGCAGGGCGCGCCGCCCCGGGAGCCTTTGCTCGGCGCGGGCTTCGAGTCGTGCAGGGCTGGTGTACAAGGTACAAACACCACTCAACCGAGGATAAGTCGAGTGCAGGGGCCTGAAGCTCATGGAAGATTCCCGTCACATCGGACAGTCTTGGCGATTGCTCAATCGTTATCTGACCTCGGTGAACTAGACAGAAGGATTGTGTCGAGTTCTGTTCGGTCGTAATCTTGGGGGACAGAAACAATGCTTTGAACCCAACTGCTTGTTTTTACAGAGGGCCACAAACAATAATAAGTACCTGGATGAACCATCATGTGCAAGTCACGCATTCCCTTGCCTAACCCAGCGACCGCAACAGACGCAAGGCAGCGGCTGAAGTGTAACCTACCCTGCAGGATCGGCAGGGACGGCATTCTGAGTTTTTCAAGTCGCAGTCTCTGTGAAATTATAGGACCAATGAAAGTTTTTGAAAACTTCACAATGCCAGACAATCCCATCATCCATGTTGATGTCGTCCGATGACCTGGTTCACCCACGTCGACCTGTGGAGCAGCCGAACGAGCTAGATCGCCGGGGAGGCGCACCCGGGCGGGTGTCATCAGGTCTTGCGGCTCAAAATCCTGCATGGGAGCACGTGGGAATGAATTGAGATGTGCCATATGGAGTAGAATGGATTGCGTGAGCTGTGTGTTCGTTCCGTGAGTTTGCATCACCGGGCCGGGGTTGTCGGGGCCAATGAGCGGCCGTCCGTAGCCCACGTGGGCGCCGATGTGGACTCTTTGGCCCGAGAGGTTCGGCCTTCGATTCCGGCTCGCAGTTTGCCAGGATAAACACAATTTTTGGTGCTGTGGCGTAAACCTCCACATATTGGAAATGGCTGGGCTCAAAGGTAGAAAATTGACTGACGACTGTAATATGTATCCATGGGAACTTACACAATGTGCCATAGCGCTGCAGTCAGAGGAGGGGGGTTCATAATCCATTCTACGTCGTCTTTTGCCGGACATCTTCGGTGACAGACGCCCAGAGTGAACCCGAGCCATGGGCTTGGAAATATATGGGGTTGAGCGTGGATGAGCGAGCCCTTGCCTTGGATAATATTCTCGTTGTCTTGGCTTTGTAAGAATTGTTGATGTGATTCCATTGCAGGAGGCCGGTGTTATGAGCGGCGTGTGAGTTTACTACAGATTTATTCCAAACATTGAAAACATCATACAACTGGCTGAACTAGCTTATCTTATGTTGAAGGTGACTTACCGGTGAAGACCAGACGCCAGAGAAGGACAGGCAACGCGAAGTGTCAATTGCATACCTCTCAGAGGGCGGCTCTGATGCATACGAGCTCGCCAAAACGTGCTGCTAGACATGTCTTTGTCTACTTACGAAGGCAAAATCATTCTCTAGCTTAAATCATTGGTGGTGAGCTTCCATTCACACAGGAATCTTCGAAAGAGTGTTAGCCCAGTTAGTACATGTGCCCTTCCAATACCTCGTCCGCGTCCAAGTCCTCAATGTTAGGCACCTCTCTTTCCCGATATCTACAATACCACTCAAGCAACTCCGGGATCGTATCAAAAGTTTTGCAGTCGTCCGGGCCATAAGCCATGTACCGCCAGGCCCATGGCTCAACCTCTCCGTCGGGCCGGTTTCTTCGGCAGTAAACTATGTAGAAGAAGCTCTCAACGCCATGCCCGGATTCCCATCCAGCAGCAACTTCCCAACAGCCGTCGACTGCCAGCTCGTGAGGTTTCTTGACCGTAGCATTGATCGAATGATCCGTCTCAGCGCCCGCCCCGGTCCAGAACATGGCCTGATACGTCCACTTGGTCTCTCCCATCCCGGGGCCAGTCAATGCACCCACGTACTCCGCGAGAATGCGAAGCTCAGTAGGGGCGGTGATGCTATCGCGAACTTCTTCGAGACATTTTGTCTTCAGAGCGCTTTCTAGACGGGAGAAATACAGCTCTCGCTCATCGCTGGTCGGAATAGACCACCCGCACCCGTCAAGATCGCAAAGAGGTGCGAGTTCATCGAACTTCGTGAGTGTATCCTCTGGACGCGATATCAAGGCCCGGGCATCATTACGACCCAGAACGCTCGCAAAACAGTCTATCCTCATGTCCTCGGCGACATCCCCCCAATCTTCCGGGTCGAGCTCAGCCTGCGTAGCAACTTGCACTAGACATTCTGGATCAGTCTAACTTCACGAAGACTGTCCTCGATGTCCACTCACCGTAAACTTCAAGGGCACGGCGATTGCGTTCAGCCATATGTGTACGATACGCATCAACAGCAGCCTTGATCTCCTCGCGCGTTGAGTGCATTTTCGCGACCACGTACTTGAAAGCAGTCTACACTGGCCAAGGGGCACGAAAACCAAAACGAAAGGAATAATTATGGTGAGATATGTCTGATGTTGGCGCCGCAAATTCAGGCGACGTCAGATGCGCCTGGCGGAAATTGGCTGATCTGATGAGGGGAATGCAATTATTTGAGACCAGCGTCGATAAATTAATTTGATTTTGAGAGGGGCTCCGTTTCGTTTTCCTGCATAAAGCGGATATTGTAAATGCAACATAAGGGGCAAACCAACTGACTGCGGGTGTCCTGGTGGTCGGGGTTTACGTTTAAAAGATGGCGTTGGTAATTGTTTATCTTCCTAGTAACTCCACACACCGCAGACAGACATGTCAAGTTTCTCTAAATCGCATGATAGGGAAGGCGGTATCGCTCGTGTGTGGACACCTCGCAGCTTCACCGCCAACACTGGTATTTTGATGCCAACATCAAGGTTGTCGAGGGAATATCTAGTTGATGCTTCATCCGAGATGAAGTATCCTACCTCGTGACGACTTGAGCTCGAATATACGCTTTTAACTAGATAGGTGTTAAGAGAAGTCCCGAAGTGGCTGTATAGCAGGGAGGAGGTACTACCTACCTTCTCATTTGTACCCCACCACTACCGCTCGGGAGACCGCCTATTTTTCCTGTGCTATGTCGACTACTTTTCCTATAGCTATTCTACTTTATCGTCGTACTTCAATATTCGTCGTCGCTTCAATAGTCGTTATCCCTTCTATTATCGTCGTCGTTTTCGCCGTCGTCTTCGTCGTCGTCTTCGTCGCTGCTACTATCGTCTCGGACAGGAGTGATGAAGTACATAGGAAATATAGCCGCGTAGACACAGGAAAAATAGGCGGTCTCCCGCTCGGAGGCGACTTACATCGAATTCAGAGCATTCACACAGGGGTCATGGTCGTCCGCCGGCTCACTGCGATTTCAACCCCAGAGGACATGGATGTGTCTTCGTGCACCATGGTTTGTATCGTGCTTAGCTGGCAGTTTGACAAGTGAACATACATCATGTGGTATGAGGCATACAACCAACAGCTTACCTTGGCATTTGTGGGTTATTGTGCTGACATGCAGCATTTTCTGCACACCCCTGCAAGATGAAAGGACCGAGCGTGAGACTGCATGATGAATTTGTGGCATCACTGCGATTTTAACCCCCCCAGGGACAATCAAAAACAAACCTGTCGTCACGTGGCGCTGCAAACTAGCATGCAAAGAGATGCATTGTAAGCAAGGAGTACCTTATTCTACTGATGTGAGAAAGATGCGATGGGTAGACGCCCACAGGAACTACTCATGTGCGCAGGGCGGATCAAATGTGACTCCAAACTGATTAGGTTGCGTTAAATTTTAGGAAGATATTCCATGACAATCGCCCATTTTTCGACGTGATTAGATATCAGGTGCGACGTGATTCCTATGATTTCTGGTTTTAATCAAGGTTGTCTCCGAGAGTAGCCAGAGTAACAGGATTAAGAATAGAATATAGTTCAATACATCAAGTTAGGCGGCAAACTGCGAAGAAGGAAACTTAGAAGGGAAGAAACATACAGTACATCAACTATTGCCCGCCAGAGATTCCGGCGGGTATGTATCTCATCATGGCACTCTCACCTCATAATAATTCAAAACTTACACGCGCATTCTCGGGGAGCCTGGTAACACGTGGAGATGCGCCCAACCCCAGTCAAGCACTAGTTGGCATTCGCAAATTCAAATTCCAGACCCAACAGATTGGTTAGCTTTTACACTGCAATCTTAAATCCGACCAAGGAAGCCAGCGAATACATTCATTTGCCACCATACACTAATACACTTGCATACTACTGGCTCTCATCAAAATTGATGGTTGGAGCCTGATTGGGTGTGAACTAATGTGTAACCCGACAGTCCGGTTCCCAACTTCACTGCAACTTTAACCCCTCCAGAGGGAGTCAATACGTATTCCATTCATCCATTTAATACCATGCAGTAGTGAGCCAAGATATGCACTGCCAGCACAGCAACGGCATCCTATTGGCCTTGACCAAAGCTGGTGTGACTGACGCCCAGTTGCGCGCGCACTTTATGGGTACCTTCACTGCAAATCTTTGGGAGTACCTTCACAGACAGCAATCTTAACCCACCCTAAAGGGATCGATGCCTGTGTCCATGTTACTAACACCTCCAAGACAAGGGTTGTACCGCAGCGTGACCACCACCTAACGTCCGTCAACTATTCCGGGTACCTACTTAGACTAACTTATCCCTTGACACAATTCACAGTTAGGGTGAGTAATGATATTGATACAAAATGCATAGAATCAACTTAAGGAGAGGCATGATGAATCAAAACCCAGCGAGGCCGATTCCACCCATCTCATCGCGAGCCTAGAGTCTTTATTAAACCAACACTATGAGAAGTATGCACTCTTTCCCACTTTTAGCACAGTCATTCACTTCAGTGCAGTTGTCATTGTCACCAGAGCTAAAAGAAAAGTCGCTTCATAAATATCACCTCGACCATCATCATCATTCACTATATCCCCGGGAATCCCAGCCAAGAGCTCCTCAAGACATCCCATCAATTCTCAATTTGAAGAAACCTTAGATGATTCCCTGGTGTCTGAGCCACATTCAACCACAAATATCCTCGGCAGGAAGTTTAGTTTAAACCTCCGCAGCATCAAAGTTGCGAATCAAATCATAATAAAACCTCAAAATCTCCATGTGCGCAGAAATCTGGATCCTCTCATCAATCGTATGCGCATTCACCGTCGCACCATTGCGGATGGGCACGAAGCGGTACACGTTAGGGGTAAGATCTACACAAGCACCATATGTCAGCAAACTCTCCTCGCAGCTCAAAACCTCGGCGATCCTCCAAACCAAGATTAGAAGAAACAAGGCAAGAAGTCAAACTTACTCAGATAATGTCTCGTGTCAGTGTTTCCCGTCATCAGCTCCCCAACCGGCACAACCTTGCCCTCATCAAACGCAAACGAGCTCTGCAGCGTTCCCGAGAACAAATCCCAGATCGGGCCCTTGGTTGGCGACACCGGCGCCACGAGCGTCTTCTGCGAGGAGCTCAGGACCAAGGTGCCGTTGTAGTCAACCTCGTACTTAACCTCCACACCACCATTCTCCAGACCGACATCCCCCGCGAGATCTCTCTTCTTTGTAGCAGCGTACTTCTCATACCCCTCGTCGCCCTCGAACGCCACAACCTTGACGCCGTACTTCTCCGCGATCCCGGAAATGTACGAGACGACGTTGTGCTGGATCTCAGGGATGCTGTTCTGCGGCGCGACGCGGTAGTTCACGCCGACCTTGACAACCTCCGGCATGGCGTTGATCTTCTGCCCGGCCTGGAAGTAGTCCACGCTCTGCGAGGTCTGCAGGCGGTAGTGCGTCGGGCGGTCAATCTCGACCAACGTCTCCGCGAGCGCCTGTAGATCGCCCTCTTGCAGGAGCTTCGTGATCTCGGGCTGCGCGTCGGGGGAGTACCGCGCCTGGCAGACCATGTGCTCGTACAGCGGCGACTTCGTCGTCAGCTGCGGCGAGTACGGGTGCGCCTCGAGCGCGACGACCATCTCCGAGACGATGCCGATGCCCGTGTGTGGGAAGGGGACCGAGGAGTGGCCGCCGGTGACGTGCAGCTCGAGCCAGATGTCGACGTGGCCCTTCTCCATGACGGCGGGGAGGGCGTAGAGTGTCTTGGAGTCGAGCTGCTGCAGGCCCATGCCGCCCTCGTCGAGGATCAGCGCCATGCTGTTGTTGCCCCATTTCTGCTCGAGGTGCTTGGCGATGTGACCCGCGCCGCGCTGGCCGGAGCACTCTTCGTCGAAGCCCGAGGCGAGGATGATTGTGCGCTTAGGGACCCAGTCCGGGTTCTCAAGGAGGGTTTCGAGCGCCGAGAGGAGGGCCGTGAAGGAGTTCTTGTCGTCTGAGACGCCACGGCCCCACATCCACTCACCGTCAAAGTGCGCGGCGAACGGGGGATAGGTCCATGTCGAGGCGTCGGCGACGGGGACGACGTCCTGGTGGGCGGCGAGGAGGAGAGGCTTGAGGTCAGGAGAGGAGCCCGGGATGGTGTAGACGAGGCCGAAGGTGTTTACTTTGACAAGTTCGGAGCGCGCGTGGACCGCTGGGTAGGTCTTGCGCATGACATCGTGGAGTTCGTAGAACACTTTCCAGCGCGGGTCGGTGTCAAAGTCGCCGAGATCGTCGTAGCAGATTGACGGGACGCGGACGAGGGCTGCATGGCGGGAGACTTGCTTGAGGATGGCGGCTTCGGAGGTGAAGAGCTCCTTTGCGGAAGGAAGACCGTCGGAGGGGGAGATCGGGGGCGGGAGATCGCAAGTGAAGGGGGAAGCTGAGGGGCTGGTGAGAGGATGTTGGTCAGAGGAGGCGACGACGGCCGCTGCCGCAGATAAGATGTTGATGAGGGTGTTGGAGCGCATCGTGAAGCTGTTGTGGTCGACCGGAGGTGCTCCAACTCAATGCATTCAACTCCGGCTTTGAAATTGTCGCCTTGCTTCGGCCCAAATCACGACATGGAAGAAAGAGAATACAAAATCTCGCGGGAAGAGGTGTAGGAACATCATTTTGTAAGCAGTCACATACAGAGATCCCTGTGTTGCGTGATAGCCACCTCCATGCATCCTTCACCATTGACCAGTCAGTGTCTCGAGAGCTTCCCCATCCCCCGCTCGCCGAGATAGGAGCTCTTTCACCAACGTGCAATTATTGTGGGGTTTCAACAGATAACGGCATAGAACCCCAGTATTTGCCGATATCCATGTTTCGGAGTCGGAGTCCACCCGACCGGTGCCGATACGGACATGTGGGCGAGTCAACGCCGCGGGCAACTTGTGACCTGCCTAATCAGAGAGCGGAGGCTGCCATTGGGTGTCGGGTATTTGAGGTGGGGACTCCTGAATCTATCGGCAATTCGAATTCTGAAGGATTGAATGCTACACGCAGGTCA